GGAGGAGGGTGGGGGTCCCCTTTGGGTGGTCCCGAGTCTGTGGATTTGGGGAGAAAACTCACTGGAAGTGGTGCCAGAGCTGGAAGAGGCGTTTTCGGCACCGTTGGGTGGTTGAACGCCGGGAACTGGTGGGAAGGGACCCACTGGTGGCCAGAAGGGAAACATTCCTGGTGGGAAGGGAGGGAGGATTCCCTGGGGAACTGTGGAGGGAGAAGAGGGTGATGAGACTCCAAAACTCCTCAAATTCCCTTCGCTGGAACATCCTGGGTCTTTTCCAGCTTGTTTGTTCCTCCGGTGCCACGGTCACCGAGTCCAAGGGTTGGCGACACCCTGTGCCACCCCGGAGAGGGACACTGGGGTACAAATGGGACTCACAATTGGGGGGCTGGGGAACTTGGGGGGTCTGGGGTGGTGGTGGGGCTTGTTCTGGGGGTTCTGGAGGTGGCTGTGCTGGCAGGGAAGCCCGGAGAATGTCCATGCGGCAGGTGGGACACGTCTGCTGGCGCTGGAACCACGACCTCAGGCAGCTGGAAAGGAGGTGGAGACCATCACCACCCAGAGAAGCCCACCCCAAACATCTCCCACCACCACCACCACCATTCCCATGGGGAACACCAGAAAGACAAAAAAAGGCCAAAACTGAGGACCCACCTGGTGTGGAAGATGTGGTTGCAAGGCAGGCGCTTGGCGCCCGTCACCATCTCCTCGCGGCAGATGATGCAGACGTTGTCCATGGCCTGGAGCTCCTCAGGGGTGGCATCGGGGTAGCTGTGGGGTGGAAGGCTTGGGTGGAGACTTCCCAAGGGAAAACCACCCTTCCCACCATTTTAGAGGGGTTGGGACACAGGGAAAGGGGACTTCTGGGTCCTCCCCACCACCCCCAACCCAACCTCCTTGCCGTTATCCACCGGGTTTTTGACGGCGCCGAAGGGATTCGGGCAAGGAGAGGTTGAGGTCACCACCCCATGGTCATTCCCGTGAGGAAAAAGGTGGAATTGCCCTCAAAGAGGGGCTATTTTTTTACCCCCCCCAAGGTGGATCCCACCTCAAGTGGCCACCCAGGTGGTGGGAAGGGCGTGGGGCAGGTGACTCACAGGGTGTTCATGTTGCGGATGGCGCGGCGCGACATGATGGCGTCGGTCACCGCCTTCTTGAACTGCCTGGAAGGAAAACCAAGGGGAGGGTGGGATCAAAGCCCAGAGGTTGGAGCTGGGGATGGAGCCCAAGACCACTCACCTCATGGCCAAGTACATGGGGCGGATGGCAAAGAGGGGGAAGGTGTGGACTTTGATCATGATGGTCATGAAGGCCATGTAGAGGAGGACTTTGATGAAGCCTGAGGGAAAGAAGAGCAGCAGGGGCTTGTTCTTGGGCAACCAGAGGGGGGTTGAGGTGGGATGGGACTTCCCAGGTCATCTGGGTCCCGTGTTCTTGGGCAATCAGAGGGGGGTTGAGGTGGGATGGGACTTCCCAGGTCATCTGGGTCCCGTGTTCTTGGGCAATTAGAGGGGGGGTTGAGGTGGGATGGGACCTCCCAGGTCACCTGGGTCCCGTGTTCTTGGGCAACCAGAGGGGGGTTGAGGTGGGATGGGACTTCCCAGGTCATCTGGGTCCCGTGTTCTTGGGCAACCAGAGGGGTTTGAGGCGGGATGGGACCTCCCAGGTCATCTGATCCATCCATCTGCTCAGCTGGGTCACCAAGAGCTGCTTGTCCAAGACCATGACCCAAGAGCTTTTGAGTGTTTCCAAGGATGGAAACACACAGCACCTCTCTGAGCAACCAATCCCAGCTCCCTCAGCCTCTCCAGTCCCTTTGCTGGACTTTGTCCAGTATGTCCCAGTCTCTCTGGGACTGGAGAGCCCAGAAGTGGACTTGGGTCTCCAGGTGTGGCCTCAGGTCTCCAGGTGTGGCCTCACCACCCCGATCATCTCACTGCACCTGCTGCCAACCCTCCCAGGACACCACTGCCCTTCGCTGTTGGCTCGTGCTCAACCTGGTGTCCACCAGAACCCCCAGATGACCTCGTAGACTCATGCCAGGAGCCACTGGACTTGGCCCATCCCTTTGTTGAACCTCGTGAAGACCCCCAAGACCCCCAACATGGGGTGGGATGGGAAGAAAAACAAGGAGGGGGACACACACCAGAGGAGAACGTACCCGTGAAGAGCTCAGTGTAGAGCATGTAGACGGCTTTGCTGTCCCAGGGGTTCTCATTCTGCAGGTCAATGGTGTGCAGGACATACTTGATGAAGATGGTGAGCACCATGGTCATCAGGATGGCATACTGTGGGGAAGGAGAGGGTGGTTGGGAAAGAGAACCTGGGCCAGGAGCTGGTGGTCCATCCCGGGGATGAACCAGGAGGTCTGTCTCATCTCCTGGGCCTGCCTCAGTTTCCCAATCCTGCTCTTCTCTAAAGTCTGGTCTCAGCTTTGGTCCAGGAGACTTATGGACCTTCTCCCTGTGGGGACAACCTGCCTGGGGTGTCACTTCTCAGAGGGGGACAGAAAGGGACACCTGGACGGGGTTAAAGAAACATCCAACCCTTGGAGAATGATTCATATTTTCACTACCTGGCCCGAAATAGTAACAACAACTTTCAAGTTCAAGAACCTTCTGAGGCTTTAGGATCCTTCCAAAAGATGGTGATGGAGTCATGGAATGGTTTGGGTGGGAAGGGACTTAAAGATCATCTAGATCCAACCCCCTTCATGGTGGCATCTCCATTCTTGGAGACACTCAAAAGCTCTTGGGTGGTCATGGTCTTGGACAAGCAGCTCTTGGTGACCCAGCTGAGCAGATGGATGGATCAGATGACCTGGGAGGTCCCATCCCACCTCAACCCCCCTCTGGTTGCCCAAGAACACGGGACCCAGGTGACCTGGGAGGTCCCACCCCCCCTTGAAGATCATCTAGTGGATCATCCAGGTGGGCTTTAAGGTCCCTCCCAACCAAAACTGCTCCATGATCTGAAGACCCCACAGTAATTAACATCCATTAACAGGCTTTTACTTTGATATTTAAGGGATTTTGCTACTAAAGACAAACCCTATTTAACTTAAATCTTACTTTAAATAATTATTTAGTATCCATCTTAAATTGATCTTATTCTATCTCCATCTCCTCTGCTCTCCTGCCCCACTGGGGACAGCTTCTGTCCCCAAGGAGAAGTCACCTCCTGGCCCCAAGGAGAAGAGACAGCTCTGGCTCCAAGGTGAAGCCACCCCTGTCCCCAAGAAGCCACCACCTGTCCCCAAGAAGCCACCATCCATCCTCAAGGAGAAGCCACCCCTGGCCCCAAGGAGAAGCCACCCCCTGTCCCCAGGAAGCCACCCCCTGTCCCCAGGAAGCCACCATCCATCCCCAAGGAGAAGCCACCCCTGTCCCCAAGGAGAAGCCACCCCCTGTCCCCAAGGAGAAGCCACCACCTGTCTCCAAGAAGCCACCATCCATCCCCAAGGAGAAGCCACCCCCTGGCCCCAAGGAGAAGCCACCACCAACCTCAAAGCCAAAGACCAGCTGGACAGAGGCCCCCCGGGTCAGGATGCTGTGGTAGGCATGGCTGACAAAGAGGAAATCCAGGATTCCCAGCAGGAACATCAGGGCTGTGGGATGGAGAAGGAATCGGGATGAGGAGATAACGAGGGATGGAGATAACGAGCCTGGAGGTGGAGGTGGGGGGGGGGGACACCCCCCAAAACTACAGCTCTGAGGGACAGAGCCTGAAATGGAACCTGCAGGATGGGGACCCTCAAGAAGCAGTGGGCCTGGGGGGAGGTAAGGGGTTCTGTGCTAATTAAGTGCTCAATTAACACATCCCAATAATGAGACTGTCTCATTTGAAGCTCCCTCTGCTTCAAACCACATCTTAAATCCTCACACCTCCCCCCAGATTCCTCCAAAAGGTGGTTTTTCTACTCCTCAACCCCCTTCTCTGGAAGCAGGGAGGTATTTTGCCAGGAATCCAGTTGAATTTTCCCACCTGGAGCTCAGGAAACCCACCCCCCAGGAACTCCCTCCCACTTCCTCTGCAGCCTAATTAACCCTCCCCTCGTTAACGAGGCCACCCTGATAAGGTTTATCAAGGGCCACGCTCCGTTGCCTCAGGTTCTTCCCCCACCACATGCAAACCTGTTGCCAAAATTATCTCTCCTGCCCAGCTGCTGCCTTCAAAAAATACATATAAATCTACATTTTAACCACATGAACATTTAAAAGATGTTAATTATTAGGAACATAAAAAAAACCCTGAGAAAATCAAGCCACTCACAGACAATCCTGAAGTGGAAGAGCCAGGAGATGTTGGGGCTTCGTTCCATCTGCCCAAGGGAAATGGAGGAAAACAAGCTGAGGTTTTGCCCCCCCAGAAAAGGATTTGGGGGCTTTTCTTGGCCCCCACCCCCCCAAAACCCACTCACAAAGTCCACCCTGTCTTCAGCCAACCAGTGGAAGCACTTGAGGTAGAGGAGGAGGGTGAAGAGGGCGACGAAGCGGGGGCTGAAGTCGTCCCTGAAGACGGTGAAGGCCAAGCAGGTCTCGGTCACCGCGTACCATGACCTCTCCACTAGGTGCTGGGGACAAAAAGGATGGGGAGGGGGCTTCATCCTGGCCTTGGGACCCCCAGGGGGGACACCAAATGGCACCCAAGGACTCTCGGGGTTCAGGAGTTGCCCATCAAGTGGCACCAAAGGGCTGTTTGGCGTTCAAAATTCCCCACCGAACGCCACCAAAGGTTGAAAACTGCCCCATAAAATGGCACCCGAGGGTGCTTGGGGGTCTAAATCCTTCCTAAATGACACCAAACTTTTCTTGGGGTTCAAAATCTACCTCTGAAATGACACTAAAGGCCTCCTGGGGTTCAAAATCTACCCATATATGGCACCAAAGGCCTCCTGGGGTTCAAAATGTACCCATATATGGCAGCAAAGGCCTCCTGGGGGTCAAAATCCGTCCTAAAATGGCACCAAACGTCTCTTGAGGTTCAAAATCTATCCCTGAAATGGCACCAAATGTGTCTTAGGGTTCAAAATCTATCCCCAAAACAGAAAAAGGCTCTTGGGATTCAAAATCTACCCATAAATGGCACCAAAGGCCTCCTGGGGTTCAAAATCCATCCTAAAATGGCACCAAACTTCTCTTGGGGTTCAAAATCTATCCCCAAAAGGACACCAAAGGCCTCGTGGGGGTCAAAATCCCCCCCAGATGGCCCCAAAGACCTTCTGGATTTTAAAATTCCCCCCCCCTAAATGGCACTAAAGGCCTCTCAGGGTCCAAGATTCCCCCCCAAAACTTTTTGCTATTCACATATTCCCACAGGTTTTTCCCCTCCTCCAGCCCCACCCCTACCCCACTCACCTCCATCTCTGCTGCCTTCAGCTTCCCAAAAAACACTTTGCCCATAAATTTCCCCAGGAGAAACACCAGGACAAAGGCCTGGATGTAGAGAACCTGTGGGAAAAGGAGGAAGTGGTGGGAAAAAAACCCAATCAATCAGCCTGGAAAAGGAACCACGACACAACCCAAAGTGGGTCCCAGGGGACAGCGACAAGGTCCCGGGCTCAGGTCTAACCCCATTTTGGGGGGGCCTGAGGGGGGTGGCAGTGCTCTCCCCATCCCCACCTGTGTACCCTAGCTCTGGGACCCCCCACCCTTCCCCCCCTGGTGTTTTTGGTAAGCACCATTCAACAGAAAATGCCCCATTTTGGTCACCGAAAGCAGAAGTTGAAGCGCGGGTGACGACTCCCCCCTCCCCCCTCTTTGCATCAGGTTGGGGCTGGGTTGGGGTTAATTAGCCACTGCTAATTAATGAAGCGGGTACTCACGGCCATGCTGGGGCTGGATTTGGTGAGATAAACCACGGTGGGGTAGAACTGGTGCTTCAGGTAATAGGCATGAGCCACCACGGCCGTGGTCAGGGCCAGGCTCCCTGCCATCACCACCGCCATGTAGAGCATCTCCCCACCTGGGCCTGCAGGTCAAAACCACCCCCCAAAAAAGGGGGTTTTTCACTCAAAACCTCTCCCCGTGCATCTTCAGGACACGGTCATACCCCTTTTTGGGAGTGATTTCAGGAAAAGAAGAGCCTAAAACTAATGATGCTCCCAGGGAGCTGGATGGTTTTTGACCTGTTAACGATTCCCGCACGTT